GTGGCTGCTTTGGGCCTGAGCAGGGCCACAACCTTCTGCAAATGAGCATAAACATTCCTTGGTTGTAGGCTCAGGTGCCAGCCCAGACTGTCCCCCTCCTTGTCCCCACAGGCGACAAAGGGGACCGTGGCATATTCGGCACACCAGGAAAGCTGGGCAAGGAGGGTCCCCGGGGAAACCGCGGCCCACAGGGCACCAAGGGTGCCAAGGGGCAGGCGGGCAGCCCTGGCAGCCCATGCCAGACACGCTCCTCCGCCTTTTCAGTGGGCCGCAAGACCGCCCTGCACAGCAGTGAGGGCTTCCAGCCGCTGCTCTTCGACACGGTCTTTGTGAACCCGGACGGGCACTTCAACCTGGCCACTGGCCACTTTGTTGCCCCCCTGGGCGGCCTGTACTTCTTTAGCCTCAACGTGCACAGCTGGAACTTCAAGGAGACCTACGTGCACGTGGTGCACAACGAGGTGGCGGCCGTCATCCTGTACGCACAGCCCAGCGACCGCAGCATCATGCAGAGCCAGAGTGTGATGCTGGCCCTGGTGCCCGGCGACCGCGTGTGGGTGCGGCTCTTCAAGCGTGAGCGTGAGAATGCCGTCTACAGTGACGACGTCGACACCTACATCACCTTCAGCGGCCACCTCATCAAGCCCGAGGACGACTGAGCACCTCCCGGGTCACCCGCCCTTTCTGGGGTCTTGCCTCCCAGCTGGGCGGCTCGGTGCTGGGTGGCCTTGGGCAGGTCCTTTCCTCCTGTGGGGCCTCTGAAAGGTGGGGAGGGCACTGTGGTCCCCAAGGGCCTGACATTCTAGGTAGACCCCTCTCCTTTCCTTATTTCCACCATCCCTCCCAGTCTGTTTCTGCTTCTCTTCTCTCTTGGACATATTTTAAGGAGCCATCTAACCCAAACATTCTAGAACTTTCTTTTAGACCAGTACTTTTTGTATTAGAACGTGCATGTGAATCACCTGCGGATCTTGTTAAAATGCAGGTTTTGAGTTAGTGGATCTGGAGCGGGCCCAGGAGTCTGCATTTCTAACAAGTTCCCAAGTGATGCTGATACTACTGGTCTATAGACCACACGCGAGTGGCAAGGTTCTTGAACTTTCCTCAAATTCTGGCACTTTTGGAAAATTCTAGAATCTTCCAAACATTCTAGAACCCTCCCCACATCCTTAGATTCCGTCATCCTCCAGGACCGCCCTCTGTTCTCTTGCCCCCCTTTCTCTCTCACCCTCCTCTTTGTGGTCACTTTTACAGCCACTGTGCATGTATTCATCCATCCTCCATTGCACACTCACTCTGGCCGGGGCCTGGGAGAGCAGAGGTGAATCAGATGCAGGTCCTGCCCTCAGTGACCACCCAGTCCAGCCGAGGGAGACCAATGAGTGCACAGATTGAAACCACAGCTAGAGGCACACAGGGCCCTTATCACATGGTTCTGTGTCCTGGGTTCAGGCACCACGGGGCTCTCCTTACTCAATGCTCCCCAAGGCTGATGGGACAGGACCCCTGGGGTGTGGGAGGGTGTCTCCGTCCCCATCCTTCCTGTCCTCACCAATGCCCTTAAGGCAAACTCCAGTAGGGCCTTGGGAACCCAGTGGCTTGGGGCATTTGGGGATAAAGATGACCCCTAGGAAATGGAGCCCAGATCATGGCCCCCACACAGCTGGCATGATAACCTTTGAGGACCTCTGCCCTTCTCACCAGCATCCCCCTCTCTGCCCCTCTCAAGGCTCTGTCACCCCCTTGCTCAGCCCCTCCTGCCAAAGGCATCTGACCTCTCTCAGTTCTCCCAGGACGAAGAGCCTCTAACAGGTATCTGTCCCCAGGTGCTCCCTGACTCTCCTCACCCCCATCATCAATACCCCCTGACTCTCCAGGCTTTATCAAGGTGCTAAAGGCCCTGATGGGCAACTCCTGGCTGGCAGAGCCCTCCTCTGGCCTGCTGGGCCATGGCCCCTCAGCAGGTCTGGGTAACTGAAGTGGGCAACATTCCAGAGCAGTCGGGGGCCCTCTGAGCCATGATGCTAATGGAGAGGCCGAAGTGAAGTAAATGACATTGGATCCCCCATCCCTCATTCCTTTCCTTAGCCTTTGCAGAAAAAGGGGCTAGAATGCACTGCCTCTCTAGGCAGCCTCAGGGTAATGCAGCCCTCAGGCCAAAGTGGCAGGTGGAGCCTGGAAGGAGGACTAGTGTGGACGCGTGGCCCTCTAGCCTTCCTGTCCTCCACCCTAGTGACCTCTCCCCAGAGGGAGGCAGCTTCGCCCATTGGTGCTTATACAGACTCTGCAGTTGTCTTTGGTGCTCAAAGCCAAGGGAGCCATCCAGGGCTACGTGGCTGGGGCAAGGGAGCAGGGCCTGGCCATGTGCTGTGAAGGCTGGTCCTACAAAACCAGCCCAGCCCAGCTGCCCCTGCCCTGCTTGCCTGGTGATTAAAGTTGCTGTGTCTTCTTGGCAGTTCCGGCTGGTTCTTTCTGCTCTGTTCTCTTTCGATGGATTCCACTGGGGCCCAGATCTAATGCTCCAAGCCACGTGCTCCCCACCCACAGAAACCACCCGTATGTCGATCACTCAGACAGCCTGTGTGCCTTGCAGTAAGTGGAACCTGCCAGGAGTCTGCCATGTCCCTTCCTGGCTATGCCCTCGGGCAAGTCCCATATCTCTCTGAGCCTCAATTCCTTTATCTGTAAAATGGGAGTGATGACAGTATCTACATCATGGGTGGCCATAAGGATGGGGTGAGAGGCTGCATGGTGAGTGCTGCATTCACTCATTGACTTGGCACCTACTGAGCACCTCCGGGTACTGGGCACTCTGCTAGGCGTGGAGGTTATACCCGGGAGCTCAGTCGATCGCTTCCTCTTGGAGAACGTCTATGGAGTTCTAGCGAGGAGCTGAACGATACCGAGCAAACCCTAGTCCATCACTGGGAATCCTGTCTAGTGTTCGGTGCTTATACCTCCAGGAGAATCAGTGGATGCACCTTGGAAGGAAACACACTACATGTTACAGAGGAATAGCCTAACTGTGCTGATAGGCTTGGGCTTTCTGTAGTAGCATGGTGGCTCCTTTGTTGTTTTGTTGTTGCTGTTAGGTGCCATCAAGTCATCTCCGACTCATAGTGACCCCATGCACAGCAGAATGAAACACTCGGTCCTGTGCCAGCCTCACAATCCCTGCTACACCTGAGCCCATCATTGCAGCCAGTGTGTCAATCCATCTCTTTGAAGGCCTTCCCATTCTTTCTTGTCGCTCCACTTTGCCAAGCATGACATCCTTCTCCAGGGAATGGTCCCTTCTGACAACATGACCAAAGTAGGTGGGACAAAGTCTGGCCCTTCTCACTTCCAAGGAGCATTCTGGCTGCACTTTCTCCAGGACAGATCTATTAGTTCTTTTAGCAGTCCATGGTACTTTCAGCATTCTTCGCCAGCACCACAACTCAAAAGAATCAACTCTTCTTCGGTCTTCCTCATTCAATGTTCATCTCTCACATGCATAAGAGGCGATTGGAAATATCATGGCTTGGTTTAGGTACATCTTAGTCTTCAGGAGACATCCTTGCTTTTCATCACTTGAAAGAGGTTTTTTGCAGCAGATTTGCCCAATGCAATACATTGTCTGATGGCTCCTTATAGACCTATGTTGGAGGTGATCCACATTGAACCCCCTAATTGACTTGGCGAGGCATCCTGCACTGCTGTCCCTTGGTTATTACTGTGTCCGGGTAGCCTTATGGCCACCATGTGGGACACCCCAGAATTCAGACCAACCCAGGGCTGATTCAAAGACCTTTTACCTAGAGCCCATCTGACCATTAAAGAACGCTTCCCACAACACTGAGCTCTTGGCTGTCACAGCAGAGAGGTTGTCACAGTCTCTCCAGAGACTTCCCTCTGGTGACCTCCAGTGAACTGGTGAACTGCCAATGCATCTGTCCTCACCCCTTCCCCCCACCCTCTACCCCATAATAATCCCTTTCATTTTCATATTTTGAAAACTACATTTCTTCCTGAAATATTAAGCAACTGGGATGGAGCAGGGGGAGGAGGCTAGGAGAAGAAATGGCTCCATGAAATGGGAACAACCCCAGACTAGGGTGTCAGGGAAACTTGGCTCCACTTGCCCATCCTTTGTTGGGTGGCCGGGGGCAAATGGCTTTTTCTCACTGGGCCTTGGGTCTCCTGTTTTAGAGGAGGGGCGGGCTCAGGTGCTAAGGGCTTTTTGAAATTGCACCTTCTACCCTGTAGGCTCTGGGTGGTGCCGGGGGGGAGTGTAGAGCTCCTGGCCGAGGCTGTGAGTTGAAATGGATTATCCAGAGCCAGGAATCCCAGGCTAAGGGACAGCACTTGTCCCAGGCTAAGGGACTTGGTCTTGACTCTCCAGCTTGCAAGCAACAGAAACTCAAGAGAGCCCAAACAAGAAGGGGAAATTTGCTGGCTCCTATGACTAAGAAGTTCATCCAGAGACTCACATAATGGCCCCAGGACTTTATTCTTCTCTCCATCTTTTAACTCCTCTTTCCACTCTTCCTCAGGAAGGCTAATTGTCTTCAGCAGTTCCAGCCAAATCTACCAGCACTGCAACTCCAGGGGGGTTGGTACTCACTGGTTTTGCTACAACCAGGTGCCTGTCCCTGAGACGATCACTATGGCCAGAAAAATGGAAGGCTCTGATTGACCAGGAGTGGGTTGGCCCAGGCTGAACCGCAAGGATTGAGTGCACAGGTGTAGTTAGTTCTCCAAAGAACCATTAGGGTGCCCTTACTTGGGAAGGAGAGGTAGGACTAGATGTCAGACAAGGAGAAAAGGTAGGGGCTCACACCAGGGCTGGAGCCACAGGTGGGTGGGTCAGAGAGCATGGAGGTGGGGCAGGACAATGCAGGGAAGGGTCTCCCACCTCCTACCTCCTGTACCTCCACCAGGAACCGAGGTATGATCCCTGTGGACCTGCTGTGGGTGTGGGCATGGAGAACTCAGCACTTCCCACTTTATCCCCTCTTTATATTGTTTCTCTTCACAATCCCACTGCATTCACAATGGCTAAGACCTAGCGAGCAGTTACTCTGAGTGCTTTAATTGAATCCTCACATGCTCCATTTTTGGTAAGAAACTGTAGCACAAAGGAGATAAGTGATTAGACCAAGATTATCAAGTGAGTAGAAGGGAGCTCTGGTAGCATAGTGCCTAAGGCACTTGACTGCTAACCAGAAGGCTGGTGGTTCAAACCCACCAGCCACTCCT